ATTTGTTCTAATTCTTTGGTTTTTTTTTTAAGAGTTATTTATTTATGCATATAAGAACTGGGGTACATGTCAGAGATGTGGCGGGTGAGAGGATTCACCAGAGACAGAGTGGGGAACAGAACAGGCAGAGTGACTGAAATACACTGCTGAGGGGAGCAGCAGGTGAGACAGGAGAGGTCAGCTGCACAATGTGGGCAGCTCCCTGCCTGGCCAGGGATAGCCCCATAGATTGTGTCTTAACCCCTTGCACCACCAGGGAGACCCTCTAATTCTTTGTTTAAAGCTATTATGTCCCTCTTCATTTTTTGTTTTGTTCATTTGTCCATTGGTAAGAGTGGGATATTGAAGTTGCCTACCACAAAAATGTGTTTTTACCACTGTTTGTTGTCTGAGTTAACAGTAGTTGCCTACTGTATTATGGTGCTCCTTCGTTTGGTGAGTAAATGTTGATGATTGTAATGCCTTCCTGGTATATTGTTCCCTTAATCATTATGTAGTGTCTATCCCCATCTCTTGTTATCTTTTTTAACTGGAAATCTATTTTATCTGATCTTAGTGTGGCTATCCCAGCATTTCTTTAGGTCCCATTCACTTGTGGAATTGTTTTCCAGCCTTTTTTTTTTTTTTTTATCTGTGGTTTTTTTTTTGTTGTTGTTGTTATAGAGGCATGTTTTTTTATTTATTTGTTTGTTTGTTTGTTTGTTTTGTTTATACAAGCACTGGGTACAGTCAGAAGCGTGGGAGGGTGAGAGAATTCACCACAGCCAGAGCGGGGAGCAGAGCAGGCAGAAGGACCGAAATACACTGCTGAGGGGAGCAGCGGGCGGCAGGAAAGGTCTGCGCGCCATGTGGGACCCTCCTCCGGTGGCTGGGGAGCAGCCGGGGCTCGAACCGGTGCCGCAGAGGCAGTGGGCAGCTTCGCAACCCAGCGCTCAACCACTGCGCCATGGGGGAGGCCCACCAGCCTTTTTTCTTGAGCCTGTATTTCTCTTTGGAGCTCAGGTATGTCTCCTAGAGACAACAGAAGCTTAGAATCTGTTCCCTAATCTAACCAGATTCTCTGTGTCTTTTAACTGGTAAGTTTATTCCATTAACATTTAGAGAGATTACATTTGTCCTTAGTTTGTGGTTATATCTATTACTTTATTCTTTTCTTTCTGTATGTTGCTCTATTTGGCTTAGATTCTGGAGTTATTTTTAATATTTCTTGGAGGGGTGATTAGTTTTTGCAAACTTCTTCAGTTTTTCTTTGTCTGAGAAGACCTTTATTTCTTTCTCATATCTAAAGGAGAGCCTTGCAGGGTTTAAGTATATACCAGAGTTTAAGTATATCCTTGATCTGATTTCCTGCATCTACTCTGAGTTCTTCTTTGAGTTTTTCAAATTTTTTTTGGATGGCATGCATGATATCTGTGTTTGATAGGAGGAACAGATATTCCATGTCTTTGTGGTAGGATTCTGGACATTTTATCCATATGTAGTGTTTTATTTCACACATGTATATATGTGCACATATGTTTGTGTGTGTGCATGCATGCATGTATGTGTGTGTATGTATCTCCCTATGTGATGTTCTTGGTTGCCAGTTTTTATCTTTAAGTTTATTGTCACATCTTTCCATTCTCTCCTTGCCTGTAGTGTTTCTTCTGAGAAGTCTGATGTTAGCCTGAGCTGTGTTCCTTTGTAGGTTATCTGTTTGATCCCCTTCATCAGGTTCAATATTCTTTTTTTGTCCGGAACTCTTGGAAGTTTCATCACAATATACCTTGATGTTGGTCTCTTTTTGTTTAAGTTACCCCAGTATTCTTTTAACTCCCAGGATTTGTGTCTTAATTTCCTTTTCCAGATTGGGGAAGTTTTCTTCTATTAGATCTTTAAATATGTTTTTTGTTCCTTTCTATCTCCTTTTATCTTCTGGGATATCCATTGTTCTTATATTGCCTTTCCTCATGGTGTTGGATAGTCCTTGAAGTGTTTTTTTTTCTTTCTTCTTTTTTCTTTTTCTTTTTTTTTTTTGCTTTGTTTCTCTTGTTTTTTTTTTTTTTTTTGTAAATTTGTATCTTCAAGTTCACTGATTTGCTCTTCAATTTTTTATTATATTTCTATAGCTTTCTATAGTATTTTTTTTATCTCTTTTATTTTATTTTTTTTACATCCTGAGATGTCATTCTTTAGGGTATCATTTTCAGTCTTCTCTTTGTTGATTTTGTTTCTGAAAGACAGTCAATTGTTTTTCTGAATGTCCTTGTGTATCCTTGATCTGCTTTCCTGCATCTTCTCTAAGTTCTCTGAGTTTTTCAAATTTATTTATGATGACATGCTTGAATTCTGTATCTGGTAGGATAACAGGTCTTTCATGTCTTTATGGTTGGATTCTAGAGATATATTTTCCATATGTGGTGTTATATTACCCTTTGGACTTCTGCTGCCATTCATGGTGTTATTGTCTTCCAATTTTTTCTTCATTGCTGTGGGTTTTACCTCTGCTAGGCATGTCTCCACCCTTCCCATACTGGGCTGGGACACTGAACAGAGGGAAGCTGCTGTTGGGCAGGTCCTTGCATGGCCCAGACTGGGGCTTGTGCTGGTTCCTGAGGTGCTATGACTGAACCAGGGGTTGAGGAAAATTCCTGAGGGTGGCTGTGCAATACCAAATCTCTGTGCTACCTGAACTGGGGACTGCATCTGTTTTCAAAATCACTAATAAAAGATTCTGTTATGTTTAATCTATTACTAATTCCATTCAATATATTTCTCTTGCCATTTTCATCTCTGTAAATTTGATTTGTGTCCTTTTTGAAAAATATATATCTTCCATGTTGCTCTTTAAATTTTTGAATGTATGGGATATAGTTATAAGATTGATTTTACTCTTCTGCAAATTCTGAATCTTGTCAGTTCTTGGTCAGTTTCCAGTGACAGGTTATATTTCCCTTTATGGTTGTATCTCCCTGCTTCTTTTTATTCTGGTAAACTCTGTTTAAATGCATGCACTTTGAACTTTGCTTTATTAGGTTCTGGATATATTTGTATTACCAGAAAAATGTTTAGTGTGTTTTGGGATGCAGGTAAAGGGTTAAGAGATGGTTAGATCTGCTTGGGTCTTCCACTTAAAATTTGTAAGGCAGGTCTGGAGCCAGGTCCAATTTAAGGTTAATTGTTCATGGCATGACCTACTTTAGTACTTATGCAGTAACCCAAGAATTATATTTTCTCCAGGCTGTTCCTGCCCTGTCTCTAGATCATTCCAATTGGTTCTTTTTTGAACAAGGTGATTTCCTTACAAAATGCACTGATCAGATGTCCAGGTTTTCTGTGCAACTCTTTGTTCCTTGTTATTCTGTCCCATAAATTCTGGCTGCCTTGGTCTCCCTAGACTCTCAGGGCTTCTTCTACAGCCAGAGTCTGCTGACGTCTACATAGGTCCCCTTCCTTGTACATCATCCTAGAGACTCTTCAATGTAGGGGCCCACCTTGTTACTTTCCTACTTCTCATAGATTATGCCCTTCGTTTTCTGATGCTCAGTGCTTAGAACCCATAGAATCAATTATTTTGTCTGATAAATTTGGTCCCTGTGCTCCATCAAGGTCAGACATGGGAACTAGGCACTGGCATGTTGTTTTTTTTAAAGATTTGTTTATTCACGCATACAAGAACTGGGGTACAGGCCAGATGTGCAGTAGGGTGAGAGGATTCACCAGAGACAGAGCGGAGAACAGAACAGGTAGACGGACTGAAATACACTGCTGAGGGGAGCAGCAGGTGAGACAGGAGAGGTCCGCTGCGCCACTGGCATGTTTAAAGAGTCCCCTTGCCTGAAGCTTTTAAATCCTGTACTGAAATTCCGTCATTGAGCAAAAATGCCTTTTAAAATTTCATTCCAGGGCCTCCCTGGTGGTGCAAGGGGTTAAGATGCAACCTATGAAGTAATCTGTAGCCACTGCAGTACGAGTTCAGTCCCCAGCCAGGGAGCTACCCACATGGTGCAGCAGACCTCTACTGACTTGCCCGCTGCTCCCCTCTGCAGTGTATTTCAGTTAATCTGCCTGTTCTGTTCCCTACTCTGTCTTTGGTGAATTCTCTTACCCACCCCCCCCATACCTCTCGCCTGTGCCCTAGTTCTTATATGCGTAAATAAATAAATCTTTTTAAAAAATAAAATTTCATTCCAATCTTGGTTTGTGATAGCCTGTAAGTATGCTGGCTATGAACCTAGCATGTTCCATAGTATTTTGAACCCTCATGGATTCATGACACTTAAGTTGGGCATACCCGCTGGAGGTGGGCAAGTTCAGGGTCAGGGTTGGTTGAGGCAGTGCCAAGAAGAAGCCAAGAAGAAGCACTGCAATTGGTATCAGGACCTGCCTTTTAACCTGAAACTTGCAGCTCAGTGGATCCCCAGTGATAGTTAAGAAAAGGCCAAAAGGCTGTAGCTAGGGGGTGTTCTTTAGAACCTGGGTTGTTTTTGCCAGGGAATTGGCTGACCCTGCACCTACTTTTTGACTTTTGAGCTTGTGTTCTTACCCTGGGTGTGAGGCAGCAATTGACCACTGGGGGGGGGGGCTCTAATGAGATAGACCTCTCTTGGGTGGAGGCCCCATGTGGTATCTGGTGGAGAAGAGAGTAGGTAAACCTAGGGAGAGAGTGGGTTTTCAGGGGGCTTTCAAGTCATGGGCCTTTCTCAAGGAGTGAGTACTCCTGTAATGCCTCCCAACATACTTGCAGGCACTGGGCTTGGGCTGAGTGTCTAAACTGGTGGGTGGGGTGGGAGGGCTGGACTCAGTGCTGCCATGTGAAGACTGCAGTCTAAGAAAAGTCCAGAGAGTTCCACCTCTGGGCAGCACAACTGGGTGGTAGTAAGCAACAAGGAGACCTGTGGTCAGGACTGGTGGGCAACTACGGATCCAGGTCTTTTGCTGCCTCCTCTGGGCCTTGGAGTCTTCAGCCCCAAAGTAACTCCCTGGATATACCCACCTACCCATTCCTCTTGTTGTTTCAGCTGCTCAACTTGGAAAGAAGGTGGCAGTGCTAGACTATGTGGACCCTTCCCCTCGAGGTAGGTAGACACCGGTGGGTGCACTGTGTCCTGGGAAAGAGATGGGTCGGGAGAGCCATTTTACATACACAGGACAGCTGAAAGCAGAACCATTCACACCCTGCTGTCCAGAGTCTCCAGAGAGTGTTCTGCTTCTTGTGTAAACTGCCATTATAGCAGGTTCTTAAATAATGTTGTTTCATTCAGCGGTATGATGTACATCAGCAAAAAGAAACCCCAACCAACATTAAGCTAAATAATGGCTGTTCCAGGACTTGTCATTATATGTCATTTCACTTAAAGTCATAATTTCCAAAAACCTATTGATATTAAATGAAGACTTAACTGTACTTTAAATTGTCTAGTTAGTCTCTTTTAAAAATGATTCTGAATACAGTTATAGAGAGCAAATTCATGTGGAAGGGTTTACTTGAGCCAAGTTTGAGTCAGCAATGACAAAGAAATTCTGAGTGAATATAGAATAGGAGAACCCTCAGGAATTACCTGAATATAAATTTAAATGTGTTCTCCCCTTATGTGCCAGGCACCAGGTGGGGCCTCGGCGGCACCTGTGTGAATGTTGGCTGCATCCCCAAGAAGCTGATGCATCAGGCAGCACTGCTGGGTGGCATGATCCGAGACGCCCCCTACTATGGCTGGGAGGTGGCCCAGCCTGTTTGGCATGACTGGTGAGGAGCTGCCATGTTCCCAGGGGTGCTTTTCTGATCCTCATGGAGGAGGAGGTTTATTCATTTAACCCTCAGAGAAATGTGCTGTCAGGGCTCTTCCAGGCACTACTCTGTGCAGTCTGGAGTCTGTTTTGGTTATCATCACTGTGAGGATGGGGATACTACACCTACTGGGGAGAGCCCTGGGATGCTGCTGAACCCTATGGTACATAGGACAGACCTCCCGAGAACAGCTCATCCCCAAAGCCAGTGGTGCAGAATGGGATGTTTCTTCGGGGTCAGCAGCACTTGGCCACACACACACCCCTTCATGGATCTCAGATTTGCTGGATGCGGGCCATTGCTGTGTCCTAATGGCTGTGGACCAAAGCTCCCATTTTGCTTGAGTCCAAAGGTCCACAGCCCCAAACCTTACCACCTTTAAAGCACCTTTGTTTATTTGTGTTCTGCCCATGCACTTTATGTGTCCAGTGGTTTATTGTGGAACTCTATAGCTAACACTTTTCTTGTGTTTTTAACATTCTGTTTTGTGTGTTAACAGGAGAAAAATGGCAGAAGCTGTTCAAAACCATGTGAAATCTCTGAACTGGGGACACCGGGTCCAGCTGCAGGATAGGTACTATAGCTTTCCAGGCCCTCCTGGCCTTCTTTGGGTCATTTTATACCATGGCAAGTGCTTAGTCATTGACAGCACAGCAGCAATAAGATGAGGGGTTCCTGTTTATAGGGTAAGGGTGTGCAGGCAAGCAGCAGATGGAGGGCGTATCCTCCAGGCTCATACCTGCAGCATAGTAAGGAGTTAGGGGCATGTTGGTCAAATGGCTGGAACCCAGGGCTGCACTCAGTGGGAGGTGTGGACAGGGCCTAGGGGCCCTCCAGCAGGAGTCAGGGAGTGGAGCATGATGAGGGCCATCTCAGTGGCTGACTCCTTCCTTGAGGGGGGCAGCCTTTCTTCTGCCTGGGCCTACAACAGTTATATGGAAGGAGCCACATGAGCCCCTTGCGGCCGGTGCATTGGGAATCCTGTACCTTACCTCTCATCTTCCAGCTCCCATACCATGAACCCACACCTCACCAGGTACTTCCAGCTCCCCAGGCATGGATAAATGAACCTGGGATTGTCTGCTGGACATGTCTGACATGATCATTACCGCCTGAACCTCCAGACCCCATCAACGTTTTGCGTTTCCCCAACCCAGATGCCAACACTTCCTGCCACTGTACCACCCTCCCTAAGGAGTGACTACCAGAAGGAGAGGTGCCTGAAGCTGCACTCTGTTCAGCTAGGCTTTGCTCCCTGTAACTCTGTCCTGTGTCCATAGAGGTTGTGGAAGGGACAGCAGTCCCTCAGAGGTCTGGTGGCTCTCGTCTGAGTACCCAAGATTGACTCTGAGGGGCCTTTGGGACTTTGCACTCAGGAACTAATTTGTGTCCACTAAACTCAAGAAAGCTGAGCCAACTCACCTTTGTACCTTGGCTTTTCCAGCCATGCCTCCAGGAGCTCAGCCACAGTGTAATATTTCTCCTCTGCATGGTGTGTTACAGGCATCAGGCTCTGCCATCCTTCCTGCTGGCGTTGAACAGTCCTTAATGCTAGACCGGCTCTACAAACACCCATAGAAAGGACTAGTGCAGAGCTTATATGTCTTTGTCTACAGCTGTGAGTTGTGGGGGGTGAGTGAGGGCTTACTACAGGAGCTCCCTGTAGCTCAGATAGTGCCTGGAGGCACACAGCTGGGGGGTAGGGAGAATGCAAGTTCACTAGGTGGTGAAATCTTATCAAAATTACTGAGAGCCTGACACTGCATGATAGCCTTGTAATTAGTGGGCGTGAGTCAGTTTCTGCACACCACACTGCTATCTACCCTGTTGTCCTGGATATAGCCTCTTACCTGTCCTCACTGTCCCTCGGGGCAGCAGGAGAGTAGTCCATTTTCCAGTTGTCTTTCATATCTTCTCTGCTAAAGCCATAGTGCTGGTGGACACCCACCCTTGCCAAGGGGAAGTTGGTGGTTTGGATGATGGGGGGGTCATTGGGTGTTCATGGGGGCCTCCTCTTATAGGAAGAACATGCTCAGGTGTCAAGGACTGACCCCAAGGGGTGTTTCCATTCTGAGTCACCTCTGTCATCACACGCCAGTACTGTTGAGCTGACTTCTAACGCTGCCTGGAAGCAGCGTGATCACTATGTTCCAGGAACCCCCTGTGAAGATCGAACTCCCCCAACCCCTGCCGTGCTTCCTGGGGTGGTGTTTGAGTTGACTCTGCCCTACCTGAACTGTGGACTGTAGGCAATGGGCCTGAGCTTACCTTTTAGCAGTTTGCACAGTGATCCCTATTTTATCCTGTAGGTGATGGTTAATTTGCAGAGGAAATGTTTGAAAATCTTATTCTTATTTTGCAGAAAAGTCAAGTACTTTAACATCAAAGCCAGCTTTGTCAATGAGCACACGGTTTGTGGTGTTGCAAAAGATGGGAAAGAGGTAAGTGCCCAACTTGTGCAAGTGGTTCCTCTCAGCAGACCTCAGGCGTGCCAAATTTAGTGTGGTGCAGTGAATACTGCTGAAATTGACATGGCCGATTCCTTGCGGCTGGTCATAATTCTTTTTGAATGATGAAACACTTCCATGCGATGCATATTGTACCAGGTTGCTTGCTACATGGGCACAGGGCGGGTGACCACACCTCTGCAGGGCTGTTTGGATTTGAAGAGATGTCTACGGGGTGCTTTGTGTACTGTGGTGTGCTTGGAGGAAGAAACTCTCTTGACTTCTTCTACCTATCCCCTTCCTGTCTCAGTTCCAAGGGACCTCTGAGCTGCCAGCTGGAGGGTCCACACTCTAGGGCAGGGGCTTTAAGGAGGAAGTCTTGGTCTCTGTTCAAGATCACCTGCAAGCATGTGAGTCCTCCTGAGGGGTGCACCAGTTTGACCTCAGATTTCTTCGTTTATTCTCAGACTCTGCTTTCAGCTGAGCATATCGTCGTTGCTACTGGAGGGCGGCCAAGGTACCCTACACATGTGAGTATCCCCCAAAATAGCCTTCCCTCATGCCTGGTATGTTCATGGTCTCTGCACTCACACAATTCACTCTTCATATTCTCACCACCCTCATCAGCAGCCCTCCTCACTCTTTCTTTTGCAGCCACTTTCCAATTGCCTTTCAGAGAAGTCTGCTAAAGCCAGTCCCAAGGGCCCATAGTGCTAAATCTTTAGAGCACTTCTTCTTTTTTTTTTTTTAAAGATTTATTTATTTATTTATGCATACAAGAACTAGGGTACAGGTCAGAGGCACGGGAGAGTGAGAGGATTCACCAGAGACAGAGTGGGGAAACAGAACAGGCAGGTGGACAGAAAGCATTGCTGAGGGGAGCAGCAGGCAAGACAAGAAAGGTCTGCCACACCATGTGGGTTTCTCCCTGGCTGGCCGGGGATTGAACTTGTGCTGCAGAGGCTGCAGACAGCTTCACAGCGCTGCCCTCAACCTACTGCACCACACCACCCGGGAGGCCCTAGAACACTTCAAACTTAGCTCTTCAGTTGCTTCTGGGACCCCACTGGGTCTGTTCTCCTTTAATCTCTGTGTCACTTTTTCTCAGTCTGCTTTGTTCTGAGTCATCTTTTCTTCTTCAAGGAGTTAAGCTTGTTCCCCCCCCAATAAATATTCATATCACAAATATACATAAAATATACATATCATAAAGTATACCTTTTATAGGTTTTAGTATATTCACAGAGTTGTGCTACTGCCTAATTCCAGAACATTTTCATCACCCCCAAAATTTTGTCCCCATCAGCACTCACTGCCCATTCTCTGCTTCCCCCAGCCCCTGGTACTCACTGCTCTGCTTTCTGCCTCTACTGTTTGCCTGTTCTGGACATTTTGCATAAATGGAATCATACAGCATGGGACCTTTATCGGCTGGTGTCCTTCACCTAACATAATATTTTGAAGGTTTATTTGTGTTGTGACAGGTGTCTGAACTTCATCCCTTTTTTTGGCTGAATATTTCATGGTATGGGTGGACCACATTCTGTCTATATGCTTTTCTATTGACAAACATCTTGGTTGTCTGTGCTTTTCTAGCTAGTATGAATAATGTCATGAATATGAGTATGAATGTCTGGTTTCCCTTCTATTGTTTCTATACCTAGGAGTGGGGATGCTGGCTTGCAAGGGTAACTCTATGTTTAACCTCTTTAGGAATTGACAGACTATTTGCCAAAGTAGCTGCCCCATTTCACACTCCTAACAGCAGTGAATGAAGGTCATGCTTTCTTGTTTGCATTCTTATAATTTTTATAGAAAATTGAACATTTCAAAAAACACATTGTGTTAAATTTGGAAATGTGAATCTCCCTCTACTATAGGATTTGTTTATTGCTGTTTGTTTTTTAGGTGGTTTTTCTTCTAAACAACAGAGATTGTACTTTGTTTGAAATCTATTCAGCCACTCTGCATCTTTTGACTAGTGGATCTCGGCTGTTGACCTTTAAGGTCATTACTGAAACTTTAAGTGTTCCTGGGGAAGAGGTGTTCTCTTGTCTTTTTAAGTTTTTGTTTATTCTGGTTATTTTTTGTTAGTTTCATTTCTGTTATCTTATGTGTCACTTCTATTATTTTTTGGTTGAGGGTTCTACTGAGGTTAGTGTATGATGGACTATTTGAGTAACCTGTTGGACAGTCTGGTCTCTGGCTAGTACTGATGGGCCACATTGTTGCTTTCCTCTCCCTCTTCCATGTTAAATGATTTCAGTGTCTGTTACTTCTGTATTCCTTGTTCTGTTTCTTCATAATAGCTCCTGTCAAATTTCTTTCATATGTGGCTTGGTATTGATAAATTCTTTTTGGTTTTACTTTTCAGTGAACTCCTTATTCTTCCTTCTATCTTGAATGTTAATCTTGTGTGCCTTCCTGGTGGCACAGGGGTTAAAGACACAGCACTATCAAGCAGTTGGCAGCCATTGCAAGATGAGTTCAGAATCCCGGCCAGGGAGCTAACCCCCATGGTGCAGCAGACCTCTCCTGTCTCACCCGCCGCTTCCCTCAGCAGTTCATCTGTCTGTTCTGCTCCCCTCTCTGTCTCTGGTGAATCCTCTCACCGCCCCTCTCCCCCACCACCTCTGGCCTACACCCCAGCTCTTGTATACATAAATAAACAAATCTTTAAAAAATGTTAATCTTGTTGGGTAAAGAATTCTAGGCTGGAAGTCTTTTTTTTTAAAGCACGTTAACTTTCTCCTTCAGTGCCTTTCTGCTTTCAAGTTTCTTATAGAAAAGACCACTGACAGTCTGACTGGTGTTCCCTTATAGGTCACCCTTTTCTCGCTTAATGTTTTTAATATTCTGTCCTTATTGTTGGCTTTCAGCAACTTTATCATAAAGTGTCTTGGGTGTGTCTGTCTGGTATTATTTTGTTTAGAGCTCCTTGGGCTTCCTGGATTACCATATCTTGTTGGCTTGCCAGATTGAGATGATTTTCAGTAATAATTTCTTTAAATAAATGTCTTATGTCATTCTCTTTCCATTCCTGTGGGACTATCATGATGTGAATTTTATTTCTCTTTAAGTTGTCCCAAAGGGCTCTTAAACCATTTTCATTTTCTTTTATTCTTTTTTTCTCTATATTCTATTTGTATGTTCTCCAACTTTGTGTTTTTGAGCTCATTCTCTCCATTGCTGGGTTGTTTTTTTTTTTCTGTTGAAGCCATTAATTAAATTTTTTAATTCAGTTACAGTGTTTCTTAGTTATTTCTAATTGTAGCTACCTCATATTTTCTTTGTCTTTTTTCTATTTCTGTTTTATTTCCTCTGTTGTTAAAACAGAGGATAAGCATTGTTAAAACTGTTACCTTACTGTTCTGCAGTTTTGCTGGGTTGAGACTCCTATTAGGGCTTTTTAGCTGAGGCATTTGTGGTATGTTCTTCTTATTTGAATTGGTATGGGTGGTAACAAGGATACACTTTCAGACTGTTGAAATGATCTGAAGGCTAGTACTGGTGAGAGGTAGTAGGTGTAAAAAAGGACTGGCAGTAGGTCACCAAAAGATCACCTCCAGTGTCAGAGATTCAAGCTTCCTACTGTGCTGTGGGGACCCGAGTTTTGTAGGGGGATCTACAGTAATCCCTTCCTCTAGGCCAGCTCCTCTGTCTTCCTGTTTCTTTTTTTTTTTTTAAGATTTATTTGTTTATTTATACAAGCACTGGGTACAGTCAGAAGCGTGGGAGGGTGAGAGAATTCACCAGAGCCAGAGTGGGGAGCAGAGCAGGCAGAAGGACTGAAGCACACTGCTGAGGGGAGCAGTGGGCGGCAGGAGAGGTCTCCGTGCCATGCGGGACCCTCCTCTGGTGGCCGGGGAGCATCCGGGGATCGAACCAGCACTGCAGAGGCTGCGGGCAGCTTCGCAACCCAGCGCTCAACCTCTGCGCCACCGGGGAGGCCCTGTCTTCCTTTTTCTTATTATAGGCTTGTGTCCTCTTCCACTCTAGGCTATTTTTTTTTTAATTTTAATTTTTTTTTAAAGATTTATTTATTTATTTATTTATGCAAGCACTCGGTATACAGTCAGAAGCGTGGGAGGGTGAGAGAATTTACCAGAGCCAGAGCGGGGAACAGAACAGGCAGACTGACGAAATACACTGCTGAGGGGAGCAGCGGGCACGGCAGGAGAGGTCTGCTGCGCCATGTGGGACCCTCACCTGGGGCTGGGGATCGAACTGGTGCTGCGGAGGCTGGGAGCAGCTTTGCAGCCCAGCACTCAACTGCTGAACCCACAGGGGTGGCCCTAATTTTTAATTTTTTAAAATTTGTTTTTTGCACAGAAGAGCTGGGGTATGGGTCAGAGGTGGGGGGTGAGAGGGCTCACCAGCAACAGAGTGGGGAGCAGAACAGCAGTGAATACACTGCTAACAGGAGCAGCCAGTGAGACAGGAGAGGTCTGCTCTTCTATATGTGGGTTAGCCCCCTGGCCAGGGATCAGACTCAGGCTGTAGGGGTGATAGCGCTGAGAATTAACCCCTAGGCCACCAGGGAGGCCCTAGGTTATTTTATTTTATTTTTTAATAATGAATTTTTTATTTTTTTTAAAAAGATTTTATTTGTATGAGAACTGGGGTACAGGCCAGAGGCATGGGAGGGTGGGAGGATTCACCAGAGACAGAGTGTGGAGCAGAACAGGCAGACGGGCTGAAGACACTTTGAGGGTAGCAGTGGGCGAGGCAGGAGAGGTTTGCCACGCCATGTGGGTATCTCCCTGGCTGGCTGGGAATCAAACCCGCGCTGCAGAGGCTGCGGACAGCTTCATAGCGCTGCGCTCAACACACTGCACCACTGGTGAGGCCCCTTAGGTTATTTTTAAGCACTGGATGCAACTCTGGGCAGGGATTGTAGTTGATATGGAGTCACAGTCTGGGTGTTCTCTTTACTTTTCCAGCACATATCCTTATCCTTGGGTGTTTGCTCCTATTTGACATTTGCTTGAGTTCTGGTGTGTTAGGTGCCCCTTTGTTTTGGTTTTGGCTCTATGGTGAGGGCTTGCCTACCCTTTTGAATAGCCCACCCTTGACTAGTAGTGGCTTCTGCTACGAGGAGACACAGGTCTAATGACCTGTGTCATTAGACCTGTGTCTCCTCCTGTTTCAGGCTCCCGCTGTTCTATATTGAGCTTCGGGCTCAAGCCAGTAATCTTTTGCCTGTACCCTCACCCCTGCATTTCTCCTACAATGCATCCTCTGCATTGCAGTGCTGGGTCTAGTGCAGTGCTGGGTCTAGGAGTCCCTGATATTGGTATGTGCCTGAATCAGCAATTGTAGAGGGCCCTGCCCCTCCCTCTCATGGGTCATACTGCTCTGGTATCACTAGAAATAGAGTTCTCATAAAGTTTTCTACCCCTTCCGCGAGACCATTGCTCCTAGTGTGTATAGCAGTCATCTGTTTTTCCTTCAGGGATTTTGGCTTTGCTGAAGCTAGAAGCCCTGAGAGGAGTCTCAGGCACAGTCACCAAGCTCCGTTAGCTGAGTAGTTTCCTTAAACATGGGACCAAGAAATCTCTTAGTCTTTGCCTAGAGGGTTCTGTGGGCATTTGGGTTACACCTTTGATACTCGGCCAGGAGGTAGAAACTCTGCATTAGTCCTGACTTCCTGCTAGTGCAGCATTTCCAGTTCACAGAGCTGAGAGCTCAGGACTGTCCAGATGGTCCCGGGCATGTGCACAGGCCAGTACCTTTGCCTGGACTTCTTTTTTTTTTTTTTAGAAGTGGGGTACAGGCCAGAGTTGTGGGGGGTGAGAAGATTCAGGAGAGAGCAGGGAGCAGAATAGGCAGATATACCCAAATACACTGCTGAGGGGAGCAGCGGGCGAGACAGGAGAGGTCTGCCGCACCATGTGGGTTGCTCGCGGCTGGCTGGGGATCGAACTTGCATTGCAAAGGTCACAGACAGCTTCACAACACTGCGTTCAAACTCCTGTGCCACCTGGACTTCTAAAAGCCCCAGGAACATGTTGGAAATTTTCAAAGCCCCTGTGGATATCTCATTTCTCAGCTTTTCCTTTTAAGCTTTTGGTTAGTCTATTTGCTTCAACTGTTATCCATCACTTTAGGCAGCTGTGCTGTTAAGTCGCTGGACAATCCCCCCTTACTGCCCGCCCCAGGGAGAGGCTGTCAGCACTGGGTGAGTTCGAGCCAGGTCAATAAAGACAAGTCTATTAAATGGGGTCTTCCAGGAAGCCATCGCCCAGATCACACAGTGACTGTTCTTTGGGAAGGAGACTTTGAAAGCGCTCCAGCCCTGTTCTGCTCTCTCTGGAGCAGTCATTATTCAAGACTGCCACTGAGCTGTTGGATGGGGATAGAGTGAGTTAAAACCCCACAAAACTCACTGTGCTTACCAAGTTTCAGCTATTTTTTTGTTTGTTTTGACTAAATGTTCTCTGTATTGCTACAAGCCTTCAATGAATTTCCAGTTCAGAAAAGATTGAATCTGACCACCTTTGCTACATTTTTTGTTTTGTTTGCTGTTTTCTGGAGGGTGAACCTTGGGAGGTCTTCACTCTGCCATTTTTGCTGACATCACCTCCTGGCCTGGTCTTATGTGGTATAGGGGCTCCTTTGCCCTCCTTCCCACAAGACAAGTAGAGCTGAGGGAGAGGCCCCAGGTGAAGAGGAGGGAGTAGCTAGCAGTAATAGGGCACAGAGGGTTTTGGCCAAGGCCACATCCTCAGGAATGAGGTACCAGGAGCCCTGAGTCTCCAGGTACCTGTGCGAGGTACACAAAAAGCCCCTGGGTCCTGGGGGCCCAGAGGCCACTCCTGCTTCTACATTAGACCAGAAAGAGTGTGGATGGATGAAGAACAAGGGAGTGATTCTGTTTCTCCTCAGATGCCTAAATCCCTACCTCTTTGAACTTTGTGCTCTCTCGGAAAATGCGGAACGGAGAGGGCACAGAGGAAAATGCACACCTCCATCCTCAGAGTGCCACAGGATCCCCTCATCTGTCAGGTGGGCAGAGTAGCCTGTAGAGGCAGCTGGGAAGCTTGTGCAGAGGCGACCGTGGGCAGACTGCCTGGCTCTGTAGGATGACAGGATACTGTTGTTTAAGGTAACTACAATACGGGCAAAGTGGGTGACATAAGTGACCCCTTAGCGAGCAGCTGGACTCATACTGGTTCAGCTTAAAGCTTCTGAAGGCCAGAAGTCAGCTCCCAGAAACCAGTGGTTAACCCTTTCACTTCCAAATCACTGGTGTGAACTGGCCCTGCCCCGCTGGACCATAGCTGGCCAGCTGCTGATGTCTCCATTCACCCAGAGAGGCGATGGAACAGGAGTTTCCTGGTGCTGGGGAGAAATGGGGATTTCAGGTCAGTGGATTCTGCTCTCCCTCTGCCTTTCCCCCTCCCCTCGGTGCCTGCCAAGAACCTGAGAAATTCCTGACTTTATTTTTTTTTGCCAAATGAAATCATAAACTGTTTATAATTCATTTCCTCTCTACCAGCATATCTTCCTCTCATGGGCCACTGACCAGGCACTCGTCCCTGTGTCTCCCCACCTGCTTAGTTGCCCCCTGTTAGGCTCTGCTAGAATAGAGGGTGATCTGTACAACTCCCAGACACTGGGCTGACCCTTGCTGGCCTTCAAGGGTATTATGATACATCCACTCAACATCCTAGTGCCTTTGGAGCTGGCTTTCCCTCCATGCCCTGTCTTACTCCTTCTTCCTTCCCTCAGCCTGGGGTCTGGGCCAAGGGGAGGGAAGCAGAAAGGCAAGACCATTGGCTGCACCCAGGCTTCCTCAGCTACCTTCCATAGCCAACGACTGCTCAGTGATTAGGTGCTGGGCAGACAGCCACCAAGATAAATAGGGACAGGTTACCTGTCCCCAGAGACCACAGCTTCATAAAGTCTCTGAAGCAGGGACACTTGTCCTGGGGGTTTTAGCTTAGTGGATTCTGCTCTCCCTCCACCTCCCCCTCTTCTCCTCCCCAACACCAGTGAACGGAGACATCAGCAGTACCCACACGTGAGCTGGGATAGTTCCAGTTGAGTTATGTCTGCAAAATGGGCATCCTCTGAAATAGTCTCTGGATCAGGACAAACAATGCTCTTCTCATATGATTTCATGTTGATCTTTTTTGCCTGGACAGATCGCAGGTGCCTTGGAATATGGAATTACAAGTGATGACATCTTCTGGCTGAAGGAGTCCCCTGGCAAAACGTAAGACCTGATGTGTGGCTCTTTTTGTCCACCATTGTAAATAAACCTTAGAGCCAGCTAGATCCTCTCTCCCAACTGAGATGGGGCTTCTTTTCAGGTATCAGAAATAAGTAAAGAAATCCTAGTACTTAATGTGCCTTGGCACAGCTGTCAACATACTGTGTCCTGTGACTGTCTTGGAAGTGATGACAGATCACAAAAATGAATTGGCCATTTATTGTCAAGGGCACTCTTTTTTTTTTTTTTAAGATGTATTTATTTATTTATACAAGCACTGGGTACAGTCAGAAGCACAGGAGGGTGAGAGAATTCACCAGAGCCACAGCGGGGAGCAGAGCAGGCAGAAGGACCGAGGTACACTGCTGAGGGGAGCAGCGGGCGGCAGGAGCAGGCAGAAGGACCGAGGTACACTGCTGAGGGGAGCAGCGGGTGGCAGGAGAGATCTGTGCGCCATGTGGGACCCTCCTCCCGTGGCCGGGAGCAGCCGGGGATCAAACCTGTGCTGCAGAGGTGGCGGGCAGCTTCGCAACCCAGCACTCAACCGCTGCGCCACCGGGGAGGCCTAAGGGCACTGTTTTTTAAACAGGAAACTCAAGAGCCATTAGGGGCCTCCCTGGTGGTACAGCGGGTTGAGCGCTGCATTGTGGAGCTGTCCACAGCCTTTGCAGCACGGGTTTGATTCCCAGTAGGCTAGGGAGATTCCCACATGGCGGAGCAGACCTCTCCTGTCTCGCCCGCTGCTACCCTCAGCAGTGCTTTCAGTCCGTCTTCCTGTTCTGCTCCCCGCTCTCTACCTGGTGAATTCTCTCACCCTCCCGTGCCTCTGGTCTGTACCCCGGTTCTCGTATAAAAATAAGTAAATCTTTAAAAAAAAAAAAAGCCATTAGGTTCCAGTGGGTCCTAACATGAGTATCAGGGAGGGAGGGCATCAAGGAGGTGAAATCAGGGTCAGGTTGTCAGGGAATGTCCTTGTCCCCTCCCCTGGCTTCTATCAAGTGTCCCCATTTTCATCTGGTTTATACCCTGGACTTCCCTAAAATCTTGTAGGTTTTCTAAAGGCCTCAAAAATCATAGCCCAGTTGTGAAAATATCTGCAGCATGAGTGGTTTTGCACTCCCTAAGCAAGTACAAATGTGTATTTCCTGTGCCCAGGGAGCAGGCTTTTATCAGGTTGGAGGTCCAGGCAGCTCCTGCTTGTGAGTGCAGAAGGGACTTCATGCACGCAGGGATAGGAAAGGCCACTGGAGGGCAGTAGAGGCTTGGTCATCAGCTGATCTTAGCTGCCTTAGAACTTTCCTACAAGAAAACACAGGTGGCAAAATGTGCCCAGAAGTGACAGGCGCTTTTGCAAAAACATGTTTGTGGGGGAATGTGTGTGTGTGTGTGTGTGTTGTGAGCATGTGAGAGTGTGCTTATCACATGCTTTGCTCATTGTCATTGATAACCACTTTTCAAGACCTTTTGGTTAGGGGTTAGGTCTCGATTCCCTCAAGTGAATGTGATGCAGTTTATTTTATCTTTCAGCCATTCATAAACATCTCAACAACCTCTCTCATTCGTTGTTATAAAATGCTACAATGAACACCTTTGATGTGTATCATATATGCTGTTATAAGTGCTTCTTTTCTGTTATATACACTTGTCAGGGGTGTTTCCTACAAGTAGAAACCAAGATGCAAGGGAGATACTATCACAGCTTCATGCATTTGCTCATGTGTGTACTGATGGGCTGTGCCCTGTTACCTGTGCACTTTTGCACTTTCACCTCCTCTTCGTTTGGGCCTCAGCTTCCTCATAAGGCATAAAATGAAGAGGAGCCTTCCCCCTGCCCCCTCCCAACAACTCCCACCCTCCCCCGCTTTCCCCCCAGTAAGGACTGGTTACTTCTGCCAGACGCACATCCCCAGCTCCCATGACTGCCACTGTGCTGTGCAGGTTGGGATCACTAACAGCTTTCATCAGGTCCCCAGCTTGTGGTTTGTCCCTTGACTTGGTGACAGTTTTTCATGCATAAGTTTTACATTTTTTATGTTGTCACATTTATCACTTTTTTCCTTTAACCATAATTTCAGAGTAATCTTTATCTTTGACTATCTAGTAGATTAAGCTTGACCTGGTTCTATTTGCACTTGCTATAATTATTCATCTTTTTTGTGTTTTTATTGGCCATTTAAAATTGTGTCTGTGAGTGTGGGGATGCCTGTGTGTATATAGATTGTCAATGGTCCTCTTTCTGTCTGCTTTTTTCTTTTCTTCTCATCTTTTTCTTATCTTCCGGCTAGTTTGCTTGTTAGGGTTGTAATCCTATGTTGTTTATATTGCAAATTTTGTCAACTTGTATTTGTCTTTTAACTTGTGTGATACACAAATGATTTTTCTGAATGTGACTTAGATCTCTTTTTACATTTAACAACTTTTAGATTTATTGCATGTTCAAGAAGGCCTGCTCACCTCCAGGGCTGTTTTTGAAGAGAATCCCCTCCATTTTCCTATAGGGTTTCCATGGATGGCTTTGCCTTTGGGTCCTTGGTATACTCTTAGCTGTCTGTGGTGAGGTTTAATGAGACCTGCTGCTGGGGTTCCCACTTTGCTGAAGGCACAGCCCCTCCCACAATGGTGCAGGCTCCATCCCCAGTGGGTCCCAGTCCTTCTTTGGCTCTTACCTCATAGACATGTTGCCAGGCTGGGGTAGTGGTCTGCTCATTCCGTGTTGGAAAGGACCTTAAATGTGCAGCTGCCTGGGAGACAGGCTCCCTGCACAAGACTTCTGTTCAGTCATTTTGGCCCATCACCAAAGGGCAGCATTGTCTGAATCCTGCATTTTGTCAATTAGTTGCTGAGTGTTTTATTGTTTTCTTTTGTTTGCTATTTTCCCTGTACATTTTCAAATGTAGTCAGCCTCCAGGAGGCAGCCAGCTTCTGGTGTTTCTCTCTCAACCTGCTGCTTGAGGCTAGGTAGACAGAGGGCCCAGACTGCTGCCACTTGGGGCTGGGGGGAGCAGCTGAGTGTGGGTGCCAATGGTGCTCAGCAAGTGGCCCTGGGCGTGGGCCGCTGTTGGGGGCAGCAGTCTGCTGCACTGGAAGACACAGCTCCAGATATTTTGGTCAGGAAAGAAACTGCAGTGTTTATTTTCGTCAGAAAAAAAACATTTAGAAGATTTTTTTTTTAAAAGCTTTTGGTTTATAAGGAATTTAGGTATGTTATTGTTTAAGAAAAAAGTGTTTGCAATGTATCAGTCACCCGTTTCGTTCTGAGCATGATTTATGTGAGGAAATGGTTTTTTTAAAAATTAAGCTAGAGATATATCCCTGTACGATGCTTCTGTGAAAATGCGGCTTTTGTCCAATGCTGTTAATGCAAGTTGTAACAGTGTGATATGGGAGTCAGTGTTTACATGTTACATTCCTCTGCTGCAGTCAAAATAAGCCCGGAGGGTCTACAGTAGCATTTCTGTATTTTATCAGCTTGGGCTGGGGCTGAGGGGGAGGCCTCTGCTCACACTTGGAGGGGCTGTTTCTGCCAGATTTATTTGCCTTATAAATATTCCCCGTGTTTATTTTAACTCGCCTTTAAAATGGAGCTGAAATTAATATGGACCTGAGGGCTGCCCCTCCCCTGCCCCCAGGGTGCCTTCTGTAGCAGTTGTGGACTTTTCTACTTGGCCCTATTTGGGAAGCCCGCCAGTGGCCAAGGGTACCAGTGTGCCTGGCCTCTGCCTGGCGTGGTGCTATGTCCCTTGGCATAATCCTAAGGCCTGTTGGGGGCTGTGTCTGGGCATACCCAGCTAGGCACCAGGTACCTGGTGGGGTCCACAGCATGCACAGGGCCTCCCTCCCGCCTTCTTCTCCATGATGGGGTACAGGTGGAAGCCAGGACCTTCTTTCTGGGCATGTCTATATGTGGCACAATGACCAGTAGCTTCAGGTCAGATAAGTGGAGTGCACAGTAGAGCTGCAGCTCCTCAGCCTCCAAACTTGTTCCAGCCACCTTTGCCCCGAGATTCATCCTACTCTTTGGGCCCTGAACCTCACAGGCATCTAGCCTCGTGGACATTTGAGGAGTCCCTCCTTTCTCCTTTGCTCACATCTAGGTCTGGAGAATCTAGAGCAAAAAGGATGGCAGAGAGGGAATGAGTAAACCCTGCCCAGTTGGTAGAAGACAAAATTATTCTCTTTACTACATACCTGGGTACCTGGTTCGGAATCCCTGGAGGTGACAGATCATATGTAGAAGACTGCAACATGTGCAGCTTGAGCTCCTACATCCTTGGTCAGGACCTTCTGAGGCCAAGCAGGGATGGGGGTAGAGCGAATTAGGCCCTGGCAGCCACAACCTGGGCATTGTCTGGGCTCAGCAATGCTTGTGGGCTCTGAGCTGGCTATGCAAGCTGGCATCTACTCAGCCTCAGCCCCTGTGCCAGCATTGTGTCTGACTTGTTTTCCTTTCTGTCATTGTTTCTTCATTTTTTTCCACAGAAATCCATAATAGTTTGAAGAAGTGAGGAGGATTTTGGTGAAAGGACAGGGTCTCCTGGGCAGGTAGCAGGAATCACTTCAGGAAGCTGCCCACTGCCAGTGAGAGAAATGGGGGCAAAATTGGGATATGCAGCCTCACAAGGGAAAGCTCAGAGTCACTGGCAGCTTCCTGAAGTGTCCAGCCATTCAGATGACGAGTCTGTGGAAGGGGAGAAAGGTGGGCTCACTCCCCACAGTTCATTTTAGGAAGCAGACATTCTATTATCTGGACCAAATGTGTCTGGGGCCTCCAGAGTCTACCCTTGCTTACCTGGTGGGTACCTCCTGGACCCAGCAGCCTGGCATAAGGATTGGGTCCTGCCACCCAACCTGCCCAAATTAGAGAACTTCTGGTCCTGCCTCCTATGATAGTTCCCTAATGGGGAATCAAGATTACTGAACTTGAGACCCTCCTCAGCAACCTGGCCCAGCTGGTCAGCGCTCCTGCCTGGGTCAGCTCTGTGTCTGGAGTCAGCATTCTGCAGAGCCGAGCTCTAAACTGGCAGTTTGTGGCATTCTTCAGTGTGGTCACCTTTCTCTGATGGCAAAGTACCTTCAAAGAGACCAGAGTTACCAGGGGCTATTCTGTACCCACACTGGGCCTACGAGGCACCTGAGTTGCAACTTCCTGCTGCTTAGTGTTAGCCCCTGCTTGGTTCCCTAGAAGATCTTCAGAGTAAGGGGCTGATAGAACTTCCCTACAATGCTGGCCACTCACTAGCTGAGGCCTGTCCACTCTCCTGCAGCTGCACCCGTTGCCTGAGCCTGTCCTTGGAGTCCAGAGCTCTGAGAAGCAGGGAGAGTGTTTTTGTAAATCGGACTGATTTAATGCTGCCTGTCAGACTTGTTCATGGAATGAGTTTTTGTTTGACCCTCATTATTAAGTCCAGAAGCTGACCAGATTCTGTAATCACTCCTCTTGTTCCTAAGTGCAACAGGGAAGAATGTAAATTTTATCTTGCAAAGAACCACAGCCATTTATTTAGAAAAATTCACTGTCACTTAGTTTTCTCATTTTCTGCTTAGCCTCCATGCTCCTTTGTGTCCAGCAAGAGGGAGAGCAGTCTTCTGCCTGGGGTTTGGCTACCAGTCATAAAGCCCTGCTCCTTGTCTCCCCAGGTGTGCCCTGTGACTAAGGTACACAGGTTTCAGGGGCTGAGGAAGTTACCTCCTTTGGGTGGCATCAGTCATGACCAGAGCCTTTAGGTGCCATCTGTTATGGGGCCCAAACAGGCTCCAGCTGTGCAGAGTTGGGCCCAGTGTCGGGCTCCAGGAGTGTGATTGAGCTGGTGGGTCCCAAGCAGGCCTAGAGCAGGACCCACAGGAGAAGCTGCCTTGGGGCTCTCTGCCCCAGCGCTACCTCCCTGGAGCACCGAGCACAGCAATCTGTGGGGCATTTCCTGCACTGGTGGGACTGCCAAGGGGCCAGTTGCCTGCCATGAGGCTCTCAGTTTGTGTATGTGATCCCCTTGGGGAGTGGATCAGGAGTCTTCAAACTTGAGAGGCAGGTGGAGAGCTCTTTAAGTCCAGGCTTCATGGGTCTGAATTAAGCTTTTGTTTCTGCTTCCTCCCCCCACTCAGATTTTGAACAACAAAGCCTGCCCTGTGATTAGGCTAATCCCACAGTAGTTATACCTTCAAATAAAATCTTTGCACACCAAAAGGCACAGAGAGTGGAGCTTTCCAGAATACATATAAAGTTGAATGAGTTCCCAGGGAGGAGGTTTGACTTCTGGCCTTGGTTGATGCCCTTATGGCTGGGTCTCTTAATGTAAGTATACTGGCAAATGTTCCCAACCCTTACAGGCACACTCAGCCCCTTCCCTGGGTCCAACAAGCTGGTCTACTGACATCTGCTGCCAGTTCCATCATCCTCCCATGGCTCTCCAGCCTGAACCATGCCTGCTTTACTGCCCAGTCCCCTGTCATGCCCAAGGGTTTCCTCAGTGGCCAGCAGAAGCTAATCTGTTGTTTCAAACCTACCAAAAAACCCCAGAATACAGTGCCCAGTATTCTGGCACTCTCAACCTCTCATGGTCTGGAGGCTGAGAGATGGTGTGTTTTGCTGCAGCATTTTCTTACCTTAGCTCATTTGAAGGGAGTCCTCTAGGTGAGTTCTCAGATTCTGCCTCCTGCAAAGAATAATAATCATTTGGTACTTTAGGGGGGCCATCCCAAAAGTGACTCCATCAAGATTTTGCCCCCTGGTCTGCCCAAGAGGAAGCCATGCACTGGTTGTTTCCTGCAGGGTACCTGCAGAAATATTCCAGAGGAATAAAATGGAATTATATCAATAGTACCTGCCAGGATTAGCGCTGACATTGGGCTTATCCAGCCTTACATCACCTCCTCTTGTTCAAAGACTGAAGAGGTGATCTGACAAGCCCACCCACACGTTGCCGCCCGTGCAGGAGTTTTCATTCTGTTAAGTTCTATGCATGTATATATGTGTGCATGCATGTGCAGGTGTGTGTGCACGCGTGCAGGGAGTGGAGCTGAATAACAGGAGAGGGTTTGTACTAAGAAGGCAAATATTTTAAGTAAGTCTGCTGGTGCCAGTGTCCTGTGTCCCCTCTCTTCTCCAGTCCTTTATCCTTGCTCAGGGGATCTGGCTTTCCCGATCCTGGCACAGTATATAGTGAGACTGAACAGGCAGCTGTTTTGCCCATAGATGATGATTTCTCAGAGTCTTCCCACTGTCTGTTCCCCCTGCCTCGCTAAGTGTCTCTGTTTCTCCCCTGGCCAAAGGAGGTCCAGAGGGACCCCACAGTAGAACTTACCTTAGTGCAGAAGATAACCCTTGTGACTCTTCTAATTAGACATTCTCAACACATCCATGGCATCTGTATTGGTCCTGCTCTTCATGGGACATGTGCCATATTATCACTGACCTCTCTTTTCTCTTACAGCCAGGCAATTTCCTGATTCAGTGGCACTTTTTGTAATGTTGTAGATCACCACAGAAGTTTCTGGGGGGTGGGTTATGTCCTGTAGGGTGGCCTGTTTGAACTGTTATCCTCAGCTGACTCAACAATGACATATTAGCTGACCAAGCTCCTTGCATGAAGGCTGAAGAGACCTTTCCCGAGAAGAGACCTGTCCCCACTGCAGAGGCCCCATTTGGGACCACCATGCTTCATGGTGGCCACATGTGGGACTCATACCTCTTCTTTCTGTGTGTTCATTCCTTCTACAGGTTGGTGGTTGGGGCCAGCTGTATCCTTTGCTGAGGTGCAGCTGACAAATGGCTAAGGGGATTTCCTGAGGGGAAACTCAGTCCTGAGAGCCCCTCCCCCATTACTCTCCCTCCCATCAAGGAGCAAACTCTGCCACCTAGAACCGGCACTTATGGGACCACTTAGGGTGGATGACCAGTGCAGAGGGGAAGTTTGAACATGATCTTCTGTGGCTAGAACTTCCTGGAGGCTTTTACTGAGCTTCATGCTGAGATGGCTGAGCCAGCCAGGGCAGCTGGACACAGCCATGAGCAAGGCGGTCCTCCCTGGGGAGCTGCCCCACTCTAGACTCATTCATGAGAGGGAGCAGTGAAACCAAGGAGGGCCATGGGAGGAGTGTGGGAGGACTTGGGGCTGGGAAAGGGACATTTAAGAGCAGATAAAAGCACTGGGACTGCTAAAGGACCACAGGTGGAAGGCGGCTGCCTCGTGTCTCTCACAGAGGAGGCTTTTCCTTTCTGTCATCACTGGAACTCCTTGGGGAGTAGACCTGGCCCTGGAGGCTGAGGTTAAACTCCAGGGAGCCTGGACAGATGCTCCATGGAGGCAGAAGCTCCCTGACCGTGGGTCCTGGAGGGATCTCCCCACCTCACACTGGATGTGCATTTAAGAGATGGGTGTATATGGTGATAGGGAATTCTCTTTTGGGATGATGGGACTTGTCTCACCCTTAGGGTCTCAATCTGATCCGTTAGCATTCCTTACTTGCCTCTGCCAGACGTGGCCCTGGAGTGCGCCGGCTTCCTCACAGGAATTGGCCTGGACACCACCATCATGATGCGCAGCATCCCCCTCCGGGGCTTCGATCAGGTAGTGCCCTGTTATCCCAAGTTCCCACCTGTGGCTCTGCTCTCCTGAGGGGCTGCCCCACATCAGGCAAGTTCAGCTATAGGCCGGATGTGAGATCTTAGAATTTAGAAATTGGTTCTTGAGTTGAATGATAAGACTCTTCCCAAAATTTAAAGGATCTGCTGGAGTGGAACTGAGGGTTGCTGCAAAGAACATGTTACAGCTTCCCAAATCTTTTTTTTTTTTATTTGTTTGTTTATTTGTTTATTTATACAAGCACTGGGTACAGTCAGAAGCGCGGGAGGGTGAGAGAATTCACCAGAGCCAGAGCAGGCAAAAGGACCGAAGTACACTGCTGAGGGGAGCAGCAGGCGGCAGGAGAGGTCTGCGCGCCATGCGGGACCCTCCTCCAGTGGCCGGGGAGCAGCCGGGGATCGAACCGGCGCCGTGGAGGCTGTGGGCAGCTTCGCAACCCAGCGCTCAACCGCTGTGCCACCGGGGAGGCCCGCTTCCCAAATCTTTGAACCAAAAAGGATGCCCGAAGGCATGCTTGGCCAGATTCAGGGACCAGAGGTTGGGTCCCTCCTTCTAGGCAGCCTGTTAGTAAGTGGCAGGCTGGGGTTTGAACCAAATCACCAAGGGCAACAGGGAGTAGGTGGCAATTGGTGAGGCCCTGAGTGATCACCTTGGAACATGGCAGCCCCTGGCGACAGCGCTGTCCACTTGGCATAAATTGAAAAGATGTAGCAAGCCAAATTGAGCACTCAGGTCTCCTGGTGGCGGGTGGTCTGCCCTGAGCATGCCAGGTTTGTCAACACAGCTTCTGAGGGCTTCAGGCAAATGCTGCTGCAGCTCACAGCAGCTCTGGGGGTCAGCTGCTGCTGATCTTCATCTGGGACACAGACACCTACACTGAAAGCTGACAGATCCACATGAGGACTGAATGGAGATTTCTTTTTAAACTAAAAACTCTTCAAGGAAATGTCACATGTCATCCAAGTATGAGTTGTCATCGTCAAGTTTCAAGCTCTCTGTGCCCCTGCAAAGGTGGATGGACTTCTACCCCTCCTCAGGTCTGCTTCTCCAGAGTCCATTCTGCCTTGGCAGCCCTGACATGTGCTCCCTTTCCCATGCAGCCCTGTGCCAGTTCCCCCTTCCCTGTTGCACGCATCTGTGCCTTCACTTAGCATATATACACTGAGCACCCGCACAAGGACAGTGTCCAAGGGAGGTCCTCTGAGCCTCAGGGTTTAGGGATAGACTGTACAGCTAGAGACAGGAGCTGCAAGGAGGCCATGTAGCTAGACATAGGCAGGGGTGAGGTCCAAGGGCCAGTGGGGCCTGTAGGGATAAGGGCCCATCAGAGGACCGGCCTTCACATGGAAGCTGGAGACTGACAAGAGGGGCTGTGCTTCCCAGTATAGGCCTGTGAAGGGGGCGAGAAGAAGGCGAATCTGGACCTGCTGAGGGACTCAAGCATGAGAGACTGGCTGGAGGGTCAGGTTGGCAGGTGGAAGCTGAAGCCCAGGCGGGCAGGATGAGTCCCAGGGAGGTTTCAGTAGTAAGGAAAGGACAAGTGTGGTGCCTCGGTAGTCTGGATGGCACTGGCACATGAAGACAGTGTTGGCACTCTGGCAAGAGGGGTGGAGAGGGGACAGGTTCAAGATATGCCCCGGAACAGGCACATTATTGCCAGATAACCCAGCCTTGCCTCAGAGAGAAGGACACACAGCACAGGTGGCAGACCTAGGGGCACTGGGCTGACCATGAGGCTCTAGAATGCCCAGCAGTTTCCCTTCAAACATCTAGACCCATCAGGCAATCAGAGGGGTCTGAGAGGGCCTACCCACAGCCTACCCACCTATTCCTGCTCTGAAGTTGACAATCCCACCCATATAGACACCAAATGAGCTGGCTCACCCGAGCATTCGTTACAGGATTTAAACAGTGACTTATGTTTCCTCCTAAAAAAGAAGCTGTGGTTGACTATACCTCCAGTCTGTTTAAATCCTGCAGTCGCCCTGGGAGGTGGGTCCCCCATCTGCAACCTTGCGGGCACAGAGTCTGCTGAGTTGGAAGGGTGGAGCTCTTTCTGCAGATACCTGGGCTTCTCCTGCTCCCCTCATTCTGTGCTCACTATCCCTCCATTTGTTGGTGGGTCACAAAGGTGCCCCCCTATACTGTCCCAGCTCTCCAGTGGCAAAGGAGCTGGCCCCACTTGAATAGGGGGCCAGGTAGGGAACTGGGCACCAGTCCATTCAGTCAGGTGAAAGGGGTGCTTCTCTGTCATTGTTTACAGTGAAAACTAAGTTAGCATCTGAGAAGAGCCCAAGATCTTCAGATTTGGAACTGAGGGGTAAAGGGGGAATGTTAGATGTGCTCCTGCTGACAGAAAACAAGAGATTTTAAAAGTAGGGGTAACTTACATAGGCTACATACCAGAAGAGGGTGCAGTGAACCTTCTCCTTTGAACCGATCCCTCTGGAGTCCCCACAGGGGCTTTTCAAATAGGGAGGGGCCCAAGTCCACTCTTTACATAGTCAGTGGTGGCATTCTCACTTCTGTCCATCTGGTCCTCACAGTGTGTCCGCTTGTGCTTTGCAGCAAATGTCTTCCTTAGTCACGGAATACATGGAATCTCATGGCACCCGGTTCCTGAGGGGCTGCACTCCCTCAAGTGTGGGGAGGCTCCCGGATGGCCAGCTCCAGGTCACCTGGAAGGACCATGCCTCTGGCAAGGAGGACAAGGGCACCTTCGACACTGTCCTTTGGGCCATAGGTAAGAGAGCGCCGAGCCCATGTGCATACTCACAAGCTACACGCAGAGCAGCACACCCCTTCCCAGAGCAGCCCTCATCCTACTGGCTTTACATAGCACATCTCGTCCTAACAGCCATGGGATTGCTTCCCATACTTTCCAGTGGGTTACTGTGAGTGCTGCAGGCCATCACCTGCTAGGAGTGGGCATCTTCCTGGTCTGTCCAGAAGTTAAACTCACAGATTTCCAAAGATAGCACCCAGTGATGGGGCAGAGGCCTTGACCTTTCCAGATGGGCGGGGCCTGGCTGCCGCCTCACCAGCCTTGCCCATGTGCAGTTGCGTTCGCATCTTCCTGTTCTCTGAGAGGTGAGGGTGGAGCAAGTATGGCCATGCAGATCTAGCCCACTACCAACCTTGTCAGCCACATTCCTTCCCTAGTTGTGCCCTCTTTGCATTCCAGGCCACCCTCCTGGGGAGAAGGGTGGTAAGTACGAATGTGATAAGGAAGACCCCTGCCCAGGGGTCTGGTCTGAGGGAAGGGACATAAGCTTTGAGGAAAGGCTCCCTGGCCTGGAACAGGATGAAAAGGGCAGAGAGCCCTGACGCCATGCAGTCATGAACCTGCTTGAGGCTGCTGTAGGGCAAGGGATAGGGGGTGATGCCCAGTGGGGAGAATGAGCACAGCACGCCTACTCAGATGTCTTGCCCTCTAGTACCTGTCGTTTCTAGAGTGGGATTCTTGGTTTCCTAATCTATCAACTCGCATGTCCAAAGTAGGAGCAATCAAGGTCAGACTTTCTCCCCATGTTTCCAGTTCACAAGGCACTGTCTGAACTGGGCCTAGTCATTTAAGCCCAGGTTCTGAACCTGTGTGGTTATCAGGATCATCATCTGGCTCCATATCAATTAAGCACATGTTTTCTAAGCACTTGAGAGGGGCTGTCCTGTCCCTGTCAAGACCTGGTGGAATGGGTCCCAGCATCCTCCGGGGTAGGGCTCCTGGAAAGAACAAGGCTACATCATGAGCAGTGTGTTTCTGAAAGGCCTATCTGTTCTTCCCGAGTCATTCTGATTTCCAGAACAACTGGAAATTAGAGAGTGTAATAAACTCTGGAGGAGTCAGAGATCTTCATTTGATACAGTTGGCACAGATTTGAGGAACAAAGGAGCGATCCGAAAAAACCCAGTCTATTTAGTGCTTCTTAATCAAAATTCAATAAATTATGAGAGGAAATATTCTTGCAACAAATCGTAAAAGTAAATTTTAAGTAGGTTTATTCTGAATACTGTGGAAGGTTGCCTAGGTATTCAGACCTCAAGTGTAAATTGATGTTTATTATTTTATTTTATTTTTTTGTGGGACCCTTGCTGGCAGCCGGGGAATGAACCGGTGCTGCAGAGGCTGCGGGCAGCCTTGCAGCCCAGCGCTCAATCGCTGTGTCACCAGGGGAGGCCCTGATGTTTATTATTTTAGACTCCATGGTGAGGTGGCAAGTTTCTCCTGTCCTATCTACACCCCCAACATTCCTCCTTTGTCCTCTGTGCCCCTTGCCCATGCACACCCATCCCCAGTCTTGCCTTTGGACCAATGCATAGGCCTGCACCCAGATGCTGTCAGCTGAGCTCACACTCGTGGCAGCTGTTTAGAGGGTGAGGGGGCAAGAGGTTGTGCCCTCTGAAGTCTCCAATTCCTCCCAGCTTCCAGACGGGCCCTGGTGGGTGACACGCAAGGCCCCTGGTGTGTATATGCCCACCCTCCCCCTGCCAGGAGTCATTTTATTTTTGTGTTTTCAAAAAGAGCATCCCCCAGACAGTCTGCCTGCTGTGATTGATGTTGGGGGTGGAAGCTTTTCACAATACTTGGCCTTTGACCTTGCTTCCCAAGGCGGCGCTGTGGTGGCGGCAGCAGCTTCTGGCATGCCTTTTGAGGCTGTATGAGCATGTGCTGACTTTGCTGCTTGCTCCTGGGCCAGATTTTGTAAACATTCAGGAGCCACTTTCCAGTTTAACAACTGGGAATGTTTTCTGCCGCTTTACCCTGATAAGCCTTTACCCAAGCATTATTTCTACTTGCAATAAGGATGATCCAATCCGGGGGGTTAAAATAAAGCACCCTGGAGGCAGCACAGCTGGCACAGAAGCTGCTTCTGGACCATACCTCCCACCCTGGTAGCCAGCACTGTGTCCACATAAAGTGGGCTTTGTTGTGTATTAAGAATAGAAAGGGAAGAACGCCCCTCATGCTCCGTGGATGCATGCTCAAGGCCCTGAGTTCATGCGCCAGGGCTTCCCATGTGCCTGGCACCTTGTCCTCAGCCAGCAAGGACAGTGGGCACAGGGACAGTGAAGTCAACCTTGCAATCTGGAAGCCAAGTAGGACTCTGAGCCTCTTCCTCGGTGCAGCCTTGATCTCCACGTGGTGGATTAAACACATTAGCAGTTAAAGCAGTTAATTGCTGTGCAGGGGGCCCTCTCATTGTTTGTCTCTGAATCACCCACCCACACCAGGTGTCTCAGATAATAGACTGGGAACTTGCAGTGAGGAGGATTTCCTGTCTGCAGATGTGCCGATTATGGTGCTGAGTGAAGACAGTCGGCCTGCGCTGCTGCCACCATGGGCTCGAATTCACCCCTGCACAGTTAACCAGTTGTGGCCTGAATCCCCATTGTCTGGGGAAACAGAGCCGGGTCGGGGCATCTAAGTGAACTCCTGTGGATATAAATGCTTCTAAGGGGGAACTGGGCTTATAACTTAGATTTTTTTTTTTTTATTTACATAGAAGCTGGGGTACAGGCTAGATGTGCGGGAAGGTGAAAGGATTCGCCAGAGACAGAGCGGGGAACAGAACAGGCAGACTGACGAAATATACTGCTGAGGGGAGCAGTGGGCGAGACAGGAGAGGTCTGCTCGCCATGTGGGTTGCTCCGTGGCTGGTGGGGATCGAACCGGCACTGCCGAGGCCGTGGACAGATTCACAGCGCTGTGCTCAACCGCCTACGCCACCAGGGAACCCCAGCTTAGATTTTGTTTTGAAGAAGGGTTGGAGTGCCTCTAGAGCAAAGCCTCGGGAAAACCAGGAACTGAAACTCTCAGGTGCCCCTCAGCACCAGCCACTTCCCTCTCAAGGGCAGGATGAGAGCTGTTGTTCCTGGTGTCTGGAGTGTCAGCAGTGCCGTCGTGGCCCTGTCTCCGGAGCCCCCATGGTCTGGTTCTTGAGATCTGGGTTGGGATCAAACTTTTCCTCCTCTTCAGACTTTGTGTTAGCAGAATAGTTGTTGTCCACCTGTGTATACAAACCATGATGAAGTCTCTTCAGTGGCTCTAAAATAGTGTAAAGGGAGCCAGCAAGCTCTGCCTTTCAAACAGCAGAGGCCCAGCTGTCCAACCTCTACCTAGCCCACCACGGCGTCTCCAGTTATAGTCCACCTTTACAGCACATGCACACGGACCACAGCCAGGGAGCTGGGTTGTGCCTAGGGAGATAATGATGGGGAACTGTGATCTCAGGAAGGGGATTATATCTGCCACAGTCTGGGGTTCCCTCTCTCTACCCCAGGGACTGCTTGTTAAAGGTTACAGTCCTTGCTCAGCTATGTTCAGCTAATGGATTTCCAGAGCTGAACACAAATTCCTGTGGAACTTCCCTCACCAGGTGGCAGGCAGCAGGCTAGGTGGAGGCAATACATAGCCCAGCCCCAACACTGGAACTCCTGGCTAGCTGTGCTCTGCACCCAGTGACAAGGAAGAGGTGGTCCAGGACCTGGGCTGTCTGTGTTGTGGAGGAGCAGACAGGCTGTGCGTGGATGCAGCCTAGTGGGGAGAAGCCTCTGTCTAAGGCCAGCAGGCTTAGGCAGGTTCTCTCTGCATACAGGTAGGAGGAGTCCTGGAGCCCTCAGTGGCTTTTTCAGACTTTTAATGATCCTTCTACACCATATGTAGTGAGGCAACCAGTTACTCAGCGGGTAGGAGCCTGTCAGCCTCCTGGCCCCCTGCAAATCTTCGCTCTTTCTGGACTCTCTGGTGTTCTCTTGTGGTCTCTCCGCTGGTCTCTGTGCACTCTGCTGCACAGTCCTCTGCCACCTTGTCTTCTGCTGCTGCCCTTATATGTGCAGCTCCAGGCTCAGGTGCACACACACACACACACACACATACACACCCCACACTCCAGGTGCCGCCTTAAGGTACGCGCGTAAGATCACAGGGGTCGATCATCGATGCTAATGGCGGGAGGGCGGAAAAATCCTAATCACTTCCATTTACCCTACACTGTCCTTTGCGATTGTATCTTGCTATGACTAAACTGCATGGGTGGCCGTACTCTTCCTGGTGAGGATCCCACAGGGGCCTGACTGGAATGGGTCTCAAATGCAGAAAACTGCTTTATCACAGAAACCTTGACTCAACACCCACCCCTTCCCAACTCTCCAGTTGGAGACCTAGACACTCTAACACCTTTTTATTTCAGTGCAGATGTAAAGTTAATGATTACTGATATTAAGAGAGACCCAAATCTGCTTGTGTGTTGGGGGGTGGTTATATTTTTATATTTATTTATTTATTAAAAATGATTTTTTTAAAAGATTTATTTATTTATTTATACAAGCACTGGGTACAGTCAGAAGCGCGGGAGGGTGAGAGAATTCACCAGAGCCAGAGCGGGGAGTAGAGCAGGCAGAAGGACCGAGGTACACTGCTGAGGGGAGCAGCTGGTGGCAGGAGAGGTCTGCGCACCATGTGGGACCCTCCTCTGGTGGCCGGGGAGCAGCCGGGGATCAAACCGGCGCTGCAGAGGCTGCAGGCAGCTTCTCAACCCAGCGCTCAACCGCTGTGCCACCTGGGAGGCCCTATATTTTTATTTTTGAAGACTTATTTATTTATGCATACAAGAACTGGGGTATAGGCCAGAGGTATGGAGGGGTGAGAGGACCCACCAGAGACAGTGGGGAACAGAACAGGGAGATTGACTGAAACACACTGCTGAGGGGAGCAGCGGGCAAGATAGAGAGGTCTGCTATGCC